TTTTTTTTTTTTTTTTAGCTCCCACCAATGAGTGAGAACATGTGGAATTTCTTTTTCTCTGCCTGACTCGTTGAGTGAAACGAGTTCTGCCCATAATTTTAACATTCCCATTTCAGTAAATGTCCCACCCCCTGATTAGGACTACAAGCTTGCTCACTTCTTTTTTTTTTTTTTTTAATGGAACAAGCTTATTTTCTTAGTATTTACAAATGCTTTTCCCTTTCATGGAACTACTTTATGTTTATATTATAAAGCACATCTTACATATTTTATAATGTTTTTTCTAGGAAGTCTGCCTGGATTTGCAGCTCTCTTTTGTGCTTCAATTAATCATTTAACCTTTCCCTATCAGTTACAGTTTTAAGCTGTACTGGGAATTATTTGTTTTCTCATTTCCCTCTACCCCACCCCCCCATCCCCAAACACACACATACACACACACTCACAGGCATGCCTGCACACACTTTTTGCTTATTCTTCTTTTGAATAGGACCTTAGGGTAGTAACTGCATCCCTGCATCCCTCTGTTTAAAGTTCTCTGTAATTACTGCATTTATTAACTGATTTTGAGAGATTCGCTTTTCCCAATACCTCTATAGTAGCAATAGGAATTCTTAGACATGTTTGGAAGGGGGTGCCTTTTCAATGGGCTGCCTTCTCTACAAACCAGGGAAGAAGAAAACTCCCTACTCTATGTTCAGACTCTACCCTTAAGTTTGTTCTGCCAATGTAAGAACATCTCTATGTCTCTGAGATACATTGCTCTAAATCATACTCTTGCTGTAAAATTTCAAGAACCTGGGAAAAAAGTGTGGTGTCATAGAAAATATCTATTTTCCAAGAGGGACATGATAAAGTACATTATAAATATGAATGCAGAATATTGTCCTGGAACCTCCTTGGAACATGAATAGTCCTCATTGCAAAATGTAACCTTTGTTATAAAGCTGTTTAGTTGTTCAATTTTCCCCTTATTTATGAAATAATAATAACATTATATTAATTAAGGTTTTAATTAATCTAGAATTAGATAAAAATATTAGGATTACTGATTATGGCTGATGCGAGTAGAAGCATTTGGGGGGCTCTCATGACTTTTCTTTCTGTGTTAGACAGGACTATGAAGAGCTGGAAAAGAAGCTGAAAGAAGTTTTTAAGGAGCGAAGCACCATCCTCCGTCAGCTGACAAAGACATCAAGAGAACTTGATGGAATTAAAGTCAACCTTCAGGTGAGATGAAAACTAATTTTTCCAGAAGCAAAGAATGATTTGCCTCAGTGGATTAACATGCATTTTAACAGTTTTTAATATATTTCTGAGATTAACCATGGTAGTTATTACTTATTATTACAAGAGATTTGGAAAAAATGTCATATGAAATGCAGTAGGAACTGTGATTTGCAAATACAGAAATGAGAAAATTGTATGCTTGGCAAAGCCATCAGTTCCTCACAACTTCTAAGATCAATTTGACCCCTGTGATTTTCATATTATAAAATGAGATAAAGTAATTATGACCAAGACTTTAATGAATGCAGAAATAATGTCAAGAAGAGAATTTTAAATTCTCTCATGATAGAGCTGAAGATTCTTTAATAAACGTCATTATCGTAATAGGTAGATGCCTTAGAAATGAGAGTATCATCTGTAAAAATGTATGGTGAAATTTCAATCCAAAAACACAAAAGAGGGTCTATATCTGATAAGAAAAGTTTCAGAAATATCTGATATTTTTTTGATATTTGACTTAAACATTGCATACCTACAGTATGGTAAAGGCTTTGCATGTATTATATGATATAATTCTCATAACACATCTACAACGTAGGTGCTACTGTGATTTTTCTTGGTACACACAGGGAATCATGCTTAGAGAAGACAAGTTACTTTTGAATGTCACAAAAGAAGTCAAAGTTTAAATGCTGGTAATCTGGCTCCCGAGCCTCTCTATAAGTTATTGAATTGAACCATGTTTCTGAACCAGGTGGAGTCACCACTGTCCATACTGTTCTCCTTAGCTTTCTGCTCCCATGATAATGACATTGATGATGACAATGACGGTGATGACAATGATGGTGGTGTCAGTAACCACTATGGCTTATTGAACATGGTCAAGGTCCTGTAAAACGTATTCTTTCTACAATTTTTACTTAATTTTTAAATGAAGACTTTGCTTTAGTTATTATTAGTCTCATTTTATAGGTGAGAAAACATAGTTACAGAAAGGTTAAGAAGCTTAGAGAACCCCAATAGGGAACAGAGCTGGTATTTAAACCCAATATACAAGTTCCTGTTCCAGAAGTTGTGTTGCATCTGGAAAAGAAGAAAATAAGAGGGGAAAAAAAAATTCACAACCCACTAGGACATAGAGACAGTAGCAGAATGATAGCAGTGCAGGAATAATAGTGCTATGATGGAAGTGTGCACAGAGCACTAGGGAAACATGGATTAGGATGAAATGGGAGCATATTGATTTCCTCTGGGAAGCCAATGCCTGAGCTGCACTTTACTATTAAGTGGGAACTCACCCGGTGAATGAGACTAGCAAGAGTATTCAAGCACCTGCATCTTCTCAGAAGCACGGAACACCTGGCACACTGAGACTATTGCAAGCATATGGTCAGATGCCCAGGAGAGTTCAGTGTTTACAATAGTCCCAGGTTACTCGTTCTCTCTATACCAGTAGCCTAAGTCAAGACGTCTAATAACAGTCTAGAAAGTTGCTTGATAAAAATGTACAATTTCATGGAGTTGCATTTTCTGAAGAGGAAGCAATACTACCACTAAATTTAGTTGCGATTTTAAAAATGCCTTTTGTTTATTTTGTACCGGCTATTGTGTAAGACGTTTTTCACTTTTTATCTTATTGAATCCTTTTAGCAACTACTATGCAAAATTAAAGTAATACTATATTCATTATAAAATTTGTAAACAAGACACAAATAGGCCACAGGAATTGACCAACATCAGGGGTATAATAAATGATAATTCTAGATTTCAAGCTTATGTTGAATAACTATATAGTTCGTTGTACATTTTTTTTTTTTTTTTTTTTTTTTTTACAAATGGAACTTCATGAAGGTAGGAGCTTTGAAAGCCTTGTTAGTCTCTGTAACCACAGAATTTGGATGGGACAATCACACAGGGCAATCAATCAACATACTGACTAATTATCAACCTTTGGAATCCTTAAGGAAACCAAGATTATTTTCAGAGAATTATATTCCACTATATGTTCTTGGTTAAATGATAACTAAGAACACCCCCGCTCTTCTATTTGGGTACACCTTACTCACTCCTATCTGTGTATCTGCACTTCTCGTTTCAGCATCTCAGTTTTGCCCTTTAAAAAAAGAAATTCTCTAGTACAGTCCCTTGACCTTTAAATCTTGCTTTTCTTCAGAATGCCCAGAGTACAGAAGATGGTTATTAAATGAATAAGCATATTCTTATTGCACTTTTCACCACGTGCTTTCAAATATCTATTATCCCCTTTGAGTTTTCCAATAACTGTCTAAAATAGGCTCTTCGGAATTCCTTTCTTTGCTTTTCAGATGAGGAAATCAAAGGACCAGTTTTGTTACCTGCTCAGGTTATATGACTGTGATGCACTTTTGTGTGTAAATCTTATGAAGGATGAATTTTTTTCCCCATTTTAATTCCTCATTTTGCTTTCTTTACATTTTATGTAAAGCTACTCTTTCCAAATAAATATAACACTGTTTATTGACTGCTTCCTAATGATAACCTCAGTCAGCCATTGCAAGAAAAGGTTTTTCTTGTGAAGTTCATCCCCCTCATTCCCATTATAATACTTATTATACTATATTAAAATTATCTATGTTTAATACTAGATTGAAAAATTGTGAAGGTAAGCACCACACCTGTGCACAGGTCTTTCCATAATTCATGATAGATATTTGTTAAATAAATATTAAAGTGTTCGCCCTTCTTGCTATTGTCAGTTCCCTACCTGTCACAGCCGCTCTTCTGCAAGCAGTATTATTGCTTCTCAGTTTCAACTTGTAATATCAAGAATGACAGGGTATTCTATTAAATAGTTTATTGAGTATAAATAAGAAAATTAGTAGGGAAGGCTTAATGGGACAGATTCTCTTATGAGAAAAATCTCAAGGGCTTGTCTTCTTTAATTCCTGTTCCTTGAAATCTTAATTTGCTGGAGTATATAAACATTAATAACTGAGGTGATATGTATTTTTTTCTTAATACCCTATCTGGAGAGGCCAGTTACAATTTTACATGGCCCTGTAATTTTGTTTATCCTATTGAAGTACTCATAAATAAAAAATAGACCAAACCAGACAGGTGCATACTTTTTGACTGCTTTGGTCTTGAATTGTATTTTCTAGCTTACCTAGGGAAGCTTTCTATATCCCCCTGTATTTGTAGAAACTATTCCGGAGCTGGTTTAAAATGCTTGCAGTGAACACAGCAAAACATCAAAGGAGGAGTAGAAGATATAGCTTATATTCACTTATAAGAAGGCCTAGATATTTGGAAAGTAGTTTCTTCTCCATGAAACCTCTAAAAGCCGAGACTGCTTAATACCTTTCACCTACTGTGTAGCACATGCACTAGCTGTGTCATGAATTCCTGTGTGTATCTTAGGGCCCTGAAGACACCGTGGCTTTGTTTTCACATTCTTGTTCCAGAACACAGGTATGGTCATAACTAGTACCATAGAGCCAAAAATAAAGTGAATCTCAGTTTTTCACTTGAATAAGACTACCTTTTCCCACTTTTCTTATCAGTCTTTAAAAAACGATGAGCAATCTGCCAAAAGTGATGTTCAGAAGCTCCTGGAATTAGGCCAGAAACAAAGGTAAGACTTTGCTTTCTTTCTTTTTTTTTTTCCCCCTCAGTCCTTTTTTGCCAATGTGTCAAACTACATCTAGAAACTTCTCTAAAATCCGCTAATTCTAAATGCATGAACTTATTTGTCTTCTTACTTACACTTGAATGTACATGTGGTTGCCTTGGGAATCTTGTTGAAATGTAGATTCTTATACAGTAGATCTGGGGTGGGGCTTTGGATTCTGCATTTCTAACAAGCCCTTGGTGATGATGCTGCTGATGTTACTCTTCTCTAGAGCACAATTTGAGTGTTAAGGATCTGTGATAAGTCTGCCCATCAATAGATTTGATAACATTGACTTCAGTGGACCATATTTAATAGGATCAAAGCTTGATTATGGAGATAATGGTGGAATGGTATGAAATAGGGCAATCTTACTAACAACACAGGTAGAATTAATACAATATTATTAGTGTCGGTTTGTTTTCTTTTGAGGGAAGTGCGTTATGAGAGACTTTTATGAATTATAAAAAATACATCTGATTTTAAAATTGCTTCTTAAAGTCACAAAGAAAAGTCAAGGTATTTTAAGATAGAAACAAACTGACATTTATTATGCATTTACTAGAGGCTCTTCTAGTCATTTTATTTATGTTTTCTTGTTTCATCCTCACAACTACCTTTGAAAGTGGTGCTGGTGGTTGTGGCAGTGAGTGATCGAACATTTGTTAAGTAATTCTTTTCCAGGCATTGTGCTAAGCATCTGTCTTACATTTTGTCATCTAAACCTGACCACTATCCTATGAGGTAGTTCTACCATCTTGTCCATTTTTTATAAATAAATAAACTGAGTCTGAAAAAGCCTTTTGACTTTAGATTGGGAATTTTAAATTAGTGTAGGTGCTAGTAAGACTGGGACAGGCTTATGTTTTGTTTTGTTTGGTTTGGTTTTTTGCTGTTGCTTTGAGGGAGTTTCTGTAGCCAGAATTAATAAACAAGTACGCGTGCGTGCGCACACATACACACACTCACACACTAACCCTTATCTAATATCTGATCTTTTTTGAAGTTATAGCTGGGTGATAAAATGAAGACACAGGAAGATAATATCATTTGTCGTAAATGAGCAAAACCTAACCCCTAAGAGGAATGCAAATTTAAGAAATATTTACCTTTTTAATAAAGGAGACAGGGTCAATATGCATTTGTGAGCTTGAGACAGAATGTGTGTGTGTGTGTGTGTGTGTGTGTGTGTGTGTAGATTTGTATTTCCTTTATTATCCCTCTTAAATGAGGCAGCCCTCAAGTTAGAGAAAAGCCTCTTTTCCCTTTGTTTTTACAAAAAGTCTCAGGCCTTATAAAGGATGTGTATAGCACAATACTTTAGTATTAATCAATTAGAAACAGCAGAAGGGAATAGTAATTTTACTATCAGCAAATCTACGGTGACTTTTTCCAATCAGCATGTTCATACTCTGGCATGCTGTCAGTGGAATTAGCTCTTCAACTCGCATTATTATATTGATTTGATTTAACACATTTAGCAGCTCACAGATAATTCACACAGTGGGATTCTTATAAAACATAGTGGCAGGGCAATTTCCTTTAAATACAGTCTGCTTTTAGTATTTGATTAGGAGAGAAAGCCTTTTATTACCAGAGCTCTTAGATACATCCTGTATGCTTATCTGTGACCTTATACAATTCTAGTTATCTGTTTCCTAAATGTAGAAAGACAACAAAACCTCCTTTTATAACATACACAAGAAGTAATTGAATTATATTATGTCCCTCTATTGTTCTCTGTTTTCTACTAAACTAGAGAAGAGATGAAGTCTCTCCAGGAGGCCCTGCAAAATCAACTTAAAGAGACATCTGAGAAAGCAGAAAAACACCAGGCAACTGTAAGTGTATTTTTTCTTTGTGCTCTTTGCTTTGGAGGTGGGAAATTGTTGCTTTCTTTTTCCTTCTTTTATATATAGGAATAAACATACATGTAAACAGTAAAAATGAAAATATAGTAAAAGAAGCTTCAGTCACCATGATCAGAGTAATACTTGGTCAGCATTCTTTCTAAGAAAAGATTTATGTTTTATTTTATTCTAAGGTGTCTTTAAATTTCCAACCTTCTTTTATGAATGAGTGACCAAGGGACAGTGTTTAGCAAAGGTGCTGGTTCAGACCCCACATCAGTGGTTCTGGGATTGTGAGATGGAACTCACCTTAAAGTAAGGTAAGCTATGCAGATTCCTAACACACCCCACAGCCACTGTATAGAAATCTCTCAGGAGCAAGGCCATACCATCTGCCTATTTAATCAACTCCACAGGTTACTGGGATACACCCCAAGAGTTAAGGATTAAACTGCTCCTCCAGATTTTCTCCCTCAAATGATGTCTTCTTGACCCACCTCTCCTCCCCTCACATTTCAGCTCTTATAATTAATATCCATCATTGGCAGGAGGGATGGTACTACTGAGAAAACTAGATTTCTACCTTATTCCCCAGACCCACTTTATGTACCATTTATGGCAATTGGAACTTATACTTTGTTTTCAGGGCCTGAGTCTGTTTTAAAATATAGTGTTTTCATAGATAACATGAGATATAGTAAGGCCTACAGACCAGGAAACCATTGAAAAGATATTTATTTTTCAAATTTTTCAAGAGAGGTGGCATGTCACACAACAGGAGCCCATGTGGGGAAGCACCAGGACTGATCAGGAAGCAGATGGAGAGGGGGAAACTGTGGGCAAGAGCATTTATTGTGGTTTCTGAGGCATTGGGAGGGAGAGGCAAAGTAAGAAGGCTTAAAATTGGTCAATTTGAATGATTTCAGTGGGCTATGGGATATAAAGGCTGTACTGAGTTGTGGATACCTGACCCTGAGGTGATTAGGGCAGGTCTACAGTGGCCTAGAGTGTGACAGCCCAATAAAAGGGGAAGTTGTGGGTTTTGTCTCTGGATTAGTTGGTTTGTACTGGAAAAGCGGGCTCCCAGGAGAAGGACTCCTCCCGAGGGGTTGGGGCACCAATGAGGGTGTCAGGAGGCTAAGGCAGGATAACTCAAGCATATCACTGAGTTGTCCAGAATAAGACTGGGCTAGCACAGGCATGTAGGACAGGTGAAAAAGCATCAGGTTTACAGAAGCTAGAAACATGGTGAAGGCGGTATCTCCATCCAGGTCAATTACCTGAAATTCTAGGCCCTCTAAAAACTGTAAGGTAGTCTTTCGTTTGCAAAGCTTTCTTTAACAACCTTAATCAGAATATGGAGTTTTGCTTCCAATACTCAGTTTAGTCTGTTATCTGGTTTCTGGGGACAGCCTTTCTAACAATAATTGTTGACTTTCCTAGATACAGGATTGTTCTCTGTTAAGGATTCAGTGTTATTTGTTCCACTCACTTTTAAGGACATGCATGTTGGTTCTCATTGCTCACCTAAACTGCGGCCTAATGTCTGGCCATTTAGACACCAAATATTACATAAAAGAATATACATATTTCCATATTTCATATATTCAGTGTTGATCCCTCCCCTCAACACCTGACCCATTCTACTTAATGGCCCAAATTGCAATCTCATTTCTGCCTTGAACAGTTACATTTAATCTGGATTTCATCATAGCCTGGTGACAAATGATGTCAGTTAGAGCAGAATGGAAGTACTCACATTTACTATTTTATGAGATCCTCATAATAAAGCTATACTGTTTTATTGTTTCCTTATTGAAAATGAATAACTCAGAAGAGCTAAGTTTCTAGTTTTCATTTACACAGCTAGAAGGCAGAGGATCCAAGACAGGAACTCATGATTATTCCAGTATATTATGCAAACTGTCTAAGATCAAAAAAAGATGAGAGCTATAACTTCTGAATGAGCACAAGACAAGTTAAACTATTCAAGCATGGGAAATGTCATGGACAAAGAATGCACCATTGAGAAGAAGAAGAAGGTGGGATGAGCCGAGTTTTCCTTGCCCTCTTCCTAGCCTGCTTGAAGTGACTTCCTTATGGCTCAATCTTGTATCTTGAGGTTTAGCCACCTAAAACACTCTATTAAATCAGAAACTCCCTGAAGGGATTCATAATTTAGCATGTACTTCAGAATTACAGTGTTCTGGTTTCAAATTTCTAGCTAGCCATTTACTACTAGCTCTGTGTACTTGATCAAGCCCTATAACCTCTGTAAGTTTGCTTATTTATTAAATTTTAATGGTGATTTGCATTAAAATAACATCCATAATTTCCCTGAAATTATACCTGGCATGCAGGAGATAGTCAACACTTAACTAATATCATTCCCCTTTCCTCTCTGCTTGCCTTTGCAATTTCATTTTCACCACTTCTTAGCTGGGTAAATACAAGCAAATTATTTTATTTCTCTGAGGCCCTTTCATTGTAAGAAGTATGTCAGTGCTACTTATATAACAGTTTGTTTGGTGATTGTATGAGATGCATGCATATAATAGTGTTGAGCAGAGTGCATAATCAATTGTGAGGATCCTCGAAGTTGTATATCATCATCATAACCATCATCATCATCATCATCACTATGACTATTTTATTTTTCTAACCATTTAAAACACTTGCTAAGACTTATCAAGGATGACATAAAAATGAATACCTTAAAAAAGGAAGATTTATATTATATAGTCCATGTTCATTACTTAGGATTCTCTCATTCCTCAACTCTACTTATATTGCTATTTAAAATCATTTTGTTATGTAATTACTGGATACCACACCATGAATTTTCAATAACTTTTCTTAAAAGCTGGTGTTAAATTGTTTGAGACTGATTTCAGGCTCCCAGTAACAAATGCTATCTTTATGGGAATCAGACACATTATCTATCTATCAGTGATTGGCAACCTGGCTTCATTTTTTTTTTTTTTTGTCCTTTTTGAGACCGGCCGCACCGCGCTCAGCCAGTGAGTGCTGTGAGCGCACCAGTCCTCCCTATATAGGATCCGAACCCGCGGTGGGAGCGCTGCTGCGCTCCCAGCGCCGCACTCGGGAGAGTGCGCCACGAGCTCAGTCCTTCATTTTTGCTATTATTAACAACTACTAGATAATTGAAATTTTTCACCAATGACTTCCATTTTCTCAACTGCAGACTTTTTTTTTGTTCTCTATTGTTAATTTTTAAGATAACATAAAAATCATATATCTGTACATACTTATATATAATAGGTATATGCAAATGTAAATGTACATATATGGAGTTATTTGTATGAGTATGTGTATGTATGTGTGTGTGGAGAGAAGCAGAGAGATAGAGAGAGGGACATACAGAGGCACATTATATTTCAGGACAGGATTCTTCTTTATGCATTGCATTATTTAAAAAATATTTTTTTATAAATATAAAATCAAATACTACTAAATATTTCTCAGAAAATTACAATATAAAAAATTGCATATAATGTGTAACTCTTCAGTTAGAAATGGAAATCTTGATATAGCTAGGCGATATAAAATAATACGAGAAGATACACCTCATTCCTCTCTTGAAGTTAACAAATATACAGATCTATTCCCCTATCTAATGGTAAAGTTAGGAAATGTGTTCATTTCCAAAGATAATTCTATGTAAGGTGGCCCACGATGCAAAGGAGAAGGGGCTGCTTTGGTGGTCTTTGGTCTCTGACATGCGAAGATACAAAAGGAGATGAGCGATTCGAGAATGAAGACTCAAAAAGAGCGAATTTAAACAACTTTAAAGTGAGAAGCCAGTAGGAGCCTCTCCTTAGGCTCCTAAAGGTAATATATCCACTTGGAACGTTCTGGGACAAAAGGCTGATAAAAGCTTTACATTGACTGTGGTCAGAACACTCTAGACATGATTTACACCTCAGAAAGAGAACATCGGGACTAGAAAATACACTGTTCTTTCTGTCTTACACAGATGAATGCCCACTTTTCCATCTCATATTGGGCAATTTAATGAGTCTTTTATGAAATACATCACAGAGCAGAGCACTTATTTCTTGTGGGTTTTTTCTTGACTTCCACAGATGTAGGGACCTCCCATAGGGACCCTCCTACATCTCCTACATAGGCTTACTTGTTCTTAGTGTATGATTTATGTTATAATTGCCATTTTACATCTTCCAGTAGTGGAAGGAAAGAAGAATAAACACAGTTTTTAAAATCTGCTGTTAAAAGCAAGATTTTTTTTGACAATGATCCATCCCCATATCATAAGACAAATGTGATGTTTAAAAACCAAAACCAACCAACCAACCAAACAAAAAAAACCAGAAATGCCATCATCGTTAGAAATACTTCCTCAAATATTTTACAGGTTGATATCCTATTGTAATGTATTTAGAAACCTCCTTCCCTCCTGGGCCACAATATATGTTGACAAAATAAAAAATAATAATAAAATAAATAAATAATGTATTTAGGAAACAAACACAAAAACAAAATATCAAATAGGCTTACTTAAAAGTCAGTCCTATAGCAAACTACATAAATAAATTACATATTCAGGTTTGTCGTTCATACCTACTAGAAACATTATTTATAGAAATGTATTTTGATCACATCCAGTACATACACTCATGCACACGTTTCTATATATATAATGACTGAGAAAAAAAGTTTGTGACAAATCCTTCTCATGTGTGACATACTTATAATTTCCACTCTAATCTATTTTTTTAATGGTAGTCTTGATTTCCTACACTTTTATGTTCAAAATGTATGAAAAGTGGTTAGGCTTGATGCTATGATTTTATTAGAGTCTTAGAGCTTCTACATGCATTCAAAAATTCTTACTAGCATCTAAGAACTAGAAATTCTGGAATAAACTTTCTTCTTTTATTCACTCATTGTCATCAGAAGCACGTGTTAAATGCATATTTATGGAATTATTCTAAAATGACAAACATATG